TGCCTGGTGCTCCCTCTATATATCTAGAGAAGAATCAGCAATATTATTGGTCCTGACCTGGCGTCTCGGCTTCAGTCACTTTCCCACTGCCGTAAAGTTGTTTCCCAGTGCCTTTTCTATAAATACTTTCATGGTAATTGTCCAGATAAGCTCTTCGCTATGGTATGTAGACTTTATGAATTTAAGCGCAGTACTAGACTGGCATCAGTTCACAGATGAATTGGCTGAGATGTAACCGTAAGTTCTATGCTAACAGTTTCTTCTGTCACACTTCTTGCTTGTGGAATTCCCTTCTGCTTTCATGCTTTGCAGTTAATTTTAATCTTCAAAAATTTAACTCCAATGTCAGTCACTATCTACTGTCCAGCTGATTACATTTCTTTTATTCTCACTCCTTAATGTTTCTGTTTTCTAATTCTTCTATATTCAGTAACCCCATGTGTCTTAGTGGCTTTACTCCCTTGCTTGGGGTGAGCTCGATTAAGAAAAATATTTATCTATGTCCTGTCTATATGTTTTCATGCTACAAAATGAAACTGACAAATTTCGGATGAAGATCGCATTTGAGAATATGTCAGCCAAGAACGTAACGAAAAAAGCAAAACTAATTGTTTTAGGTGCTATATCGCTTCAGGAGATGGGAGATCACAGCTCTACACAATTTCCTATCCTTTATCCCTTCCACTCCCTGCTTTACCATCCACTTGCAAAAGCTTGTTAGATGAATTTATTAATGTTTAACCTGCCGTACATATGTTATGTGAGTGTCACATCGGGGTGGTAGCACCTGTTAGGTTTCCCGCTGTCGGCAAATAGTTGACCTCCCGCAAAAAAAAACTCGTGTCAAAACACTATGAAAGTATTAAAATAGGCTTTAATACCAGTAATATTTTTTGTAAAATATTATTACTAGCAATGAATTTTGAAAGAAAAATTATTACCAGCAATGCGTTATTACCAACAATACATTTTTGGAAAAAAATATTACCAGCAATACATTTTTGAATGAAAAATATTACGAGCAATACTTATTGAAGGAATTTTTTTTACCAACAATACATTTTTGAAGGAATAAAATATTACCAGCAATAAACTTTTCAAGGAAAAACATATTATCAGCAATACATTTTTGAAGGAAAATATATTACCAACAATAGATTTTTGGAAAAAAAATAACATTACAAGCAATACGATTTGGGAAAAATTATAGCCAGCAATAAAAATCTTGTCGGCATTAAATAACCCATTGAGGTTGATATGCCTTAAAACAAAACAAACCAAACCAAACCAAGCCAATGTTGATGGCGAGGTGGGGAGTCCTTCCTAAACTCTTGTTTGATGTAGAGTCGAATGTTAGCACTTTAATTATGTAATTATTTTCTCTTCACATTACATTTTATATCCATCTTAGTTATTGCTTCTGTTAGTAGTCCTTAAATGTTGTGGTTTCTGTTTGTGAATCTTTAGCACCAGTCCACAAGGTTCGAAGAAATGTGGTTTCCGCCATGATCCACACGCTTCAATCGCTCAAAGCAATTTTTAACCACTGATCTGAGAAAGCGGTTCTATACAGCTGACAGATTAGATATTTCTGAACGGATTTGGTGGCATGCATGAGGTTTAGTTAAATATAGACTAAACCAGACTGAGATTGGCAGCAGAAGGAATATATATATATATATATATATATATATATATATATATATATATATATATATATATATATATATATATAAGTTTTCGATTAGGTCCCCATTGGTAATAGTTTACACATATTTACTGAGATGAATTAAAACTGCCACAGAGCCATATATAGAACACTTAGCCTTGTTCTACACCGTCTGTCGGGTCTTCAACGTGTACTCTTTACATGTGTCTCTGTTTTTCTCTTTTTCAAATTAAGCTATAATAATGATCTGCGAGACTAGCTTGTTAACCATAACACTACAAAAGCACACAAATAATAATCCAGTGTTGGTTTGGTTTACGGCATATCAACTACAATGGGTCATTAATGCCGGCAAGATTGTTATTGCTGCAAATATTTTTCCCCAAAATTTATTGCTGGGAATATTTTTTTTCTTCAAAAATGTATTGTTGCTAATATATTTTTCTTTAAAAATGTATTGCTGGTAATAATTTTTTGCAAAAATGTATTGCTTGTATTAAAATCTATTTTTGCACTTTCATAGTGTTTTGACCCCAGTTTGGGGGTTAACTATTTACCCATAGCTGGAACTCTAACAGGTGCTACCACCACGGGTCACGGTGGACCTGGGAACACCAGCAATTAACAGGTGGTCCCATGCTCCTCAAAACCTCCTGATCAGAGGCCTTGCTGATGGATGTAGTTTATCGTCTTACACTGGACACGGATATAGTTTTATTATATCTTCTTACCCAGGTCTTCCAATGTTGGAGCAACCTGGTAAGGTACAAGATCACATATGTAGAGTATCGATTATGGATCAAATTCACTATAGCGATCTAGTCTGCTACACAAGGTTGTTAACCATAATCCTGAAATGACTAAAAGATGAGCTAGTGGTAAATGAACTCGTTACAGCTCTTTCAGACAAGCTTGTCAAACATTACTACACAGAGAGAGACCAACATTATAATCCTATTTACTAATGTATATACTTAGCTTACTATAAAATAAGGACTTATATTTTACCCCCACCCCCCGAGATTCGAAATAAGGGATATTTAAACAGTAAGAATTAATACAAGTTTTCTTTTAATTCAATTGACAAGGTAAATCTGAGAATAAATACATTCTTTGGTTTTGTCTTGTTCAATTACTTCCGACCGTCTCAGAAATTATCACGCACTAGAGACAATCAGCGTGGTAGATAAGATTTTGCTGGTTGCATAATGGAGACCGTACTACGATTTAGTATCGGTGGGCATAATCTTTTGTTAAGATACGCAGATTACACTGTGTTGATGTCCGATTCGGTAAAGAAAATGATACAACCTCCCAGGTCAAGTGGTAGAAGAAAGCGAGATAAAAGGACTATCAACTGCAAGAAAAACAGAAAATAAAGGGTGTCCAAAACAAAATATAACATCAATTTTAAAAGCAATTATCTTGAAAACTACTAAGTCTCGCTCAATGAAATTGAATAGTTTAGATATTGAACATCATAAGCTTTAGTATCTGTCTATATTTCTGAGATGAGGTATTATGTACACTATTTACATTATTCGAACTATTGTCCTCATCTTTTCCGCAATATTTATATGGCGACAAAGATGAGGACACTAGTCCGAATAATGTAAATAGTATCATAAGCTTCTTATGTGACCGATTTCATAAGTGACAAATATGTGCACCGCTTGTGACACGGCACACGTCAAGTCGGTAGATAAGCTCTTGCCAAACACGCTGTAATATGTCTCCGTTAACATTATGCCGTGCGGAAGTGATTCTCTGCTTGAGTTCATCAAAGCTAGCAGAAAGAGGTGGGGGACATTGACCATTTCCTTCGAACATCGCAATAAAAAAAATAGCACGGGGACAGGTCCGGTGACCGCGGTGGCTAATTCATCAGAAAACTGTCTTCATTTCAACCACCCCCGATCTCTGGAAGATTCTCATTGAGATAACAAAAAGAAAACGTTAAATATAAAATCATGATCTGTTTCTATACATTCTGTGAAAATTTGAGATTATTTCAACAAGAATTGCCAAAATTATTGGCCTAAAAAATCATGTCAAATTTTGGAGGGCACCCTGTATATTCACCAGCAAGATGCGGGTTATCAATTGGAGATATAAGCATCAATCAGTTGCAAAATTTTAAGTATCTGGGAAGAATTTTAACAGAGGATGGAAAATGCGACACCGAGATCCGAACACGCAATACGCGACCATAGTTGCATCATTGGAAGTAATATTGCAATAACAAACATAATTAACAAAATATTGAAATAATAATCCAGAATACAGCTTATGCCACATCTAAGCGTAGCGTAAATGTGTTACAAGGTCGAAAGTATGGGGCAACCAGCGAGGATTGAACTCACTATTCATTTCGTAATTGATCTAGCGAGACAAGCCTGCTGATCATTGCACAACGTCGATGTTCCTAGATGGTGATTCCCTAAGCGTAGTGTAGATGTGGAACAACGCGGAAAGTTTGGGGCACACTGCAGAGATCAAACTCACTATTCAGTTGTAATGGCTATAGCGAGACAAGCTTGTTAACCATCACAACACGTCGAAGCGATCCGTTTCTTTCTTCTTATTATGTATGCTAACTTTTTCTCATTAAAGCCAGACATCATTTCTGATATATTGTACAGTTACTTTTTTTCCTCGCAGTCAAAATAGAATTGTCCATTATTTATCTGAGGTAATGGCACTTTTCCATGATTTCATTCCCATTATCTCCCCTCTCTCTCTCTCTTTCTCTCTTCAGGACATAGCTCTCTACAGCTTCCTCGCTTTGTTGTTCCTTGAAATAATTTATCATTTATCAATTTTCTTTCTGCTGGTTTCCATCTACACAAAAGTAGGTTACTCACCGTTTTTTTTGCAAGTGTTAAATTTTCCAAGCCTTCTTTCCTCTTCATGTGTCCCCAAAATTTCAGTTGTGGTTGCTATCAATATATTCGCTATAGTTCCAATTCTCATTAAAATTTCCTCATTTGTCGCATACTCTGTCCATGACATTCCCATCATTCGTAGATAGAACCACATCTCTGAACACTGCAGAAATTGATTTTGATTTATGGATTGATTTTTGACGGTTTATCAACCTTTTGCATGTTATTTAAAGATAGAAAATATTTTTCGCTTGTAAGTTATTTTTTAAGAAATAATAATAATTTACTGATACATGTCCGACTAATTAACCTATAGTCAGAGGGAGAAGAGGTGGATTCATACCTTTTTCAAGGATATTTGTGCGTAAGGGAATATAACGAGCCGAGCGGGTATTGGAACTCGGCTCTCCGAGCTATTATCCATTACACCACCTACATACCCAAGTTTACAGTACCTAGTATGCACAAGCGGTCACTCTTCTAGGTACTGACCAAGCTCGACGCCGCTTAACTTCGGTGATCGTACGGGAACTGGTATTTCAACGTGATGCGGCCGTAAGCTGTGTGTTGGAACTAATTTCAGGATTTCCAATTCGGAGCCGTTATCCATTACACCAGCCGCACATCCAAGATTACAACACCCGGTATTTCCAAGTGGTCACCAATCTACGTACTGAGCAGACTCGTAGTAGCTTCACTTCTACATTAAGAAAACTGCTAATATACAAGACAATCTCTTTTTGGATAAAAAGCTGGACAATTAGGAAAACACTAGAATCTGCATAAAGTCCTTTCAGTAAATATGTGCAATACTTTAAAAATATTTTTTAAATACTTTAGAAAATACTTTAAAATACTTTCAAAAATACTTTAAAAATATTTAATTTCTGTCCACTTACTTCCTTTATCTCTATTTTGCTTTGAAGACTAAAAATAGTTAAACTGTTTCATTTATTTAATGTGGGGAAGCTTTTTTTTTTGTGTTATGCTGATCGGGATGGGCATATGGTAAAACCAATGTATTTCGTAAGGATTTAATATTTCCAAGTTTTTATCAACAAAACAAAAGTTTTAATTATACCGTATCTCACGACGGAAATGAGAAACCATATAGCATTTTTTTTTTTTTAATATTGTAATGTGGTTATTAAAGTGCAAATCAACACATATATATTTCAAACATTTTTCTTTTGTCCTCAGCCGTTTACTAAGTACTGCTCGCATTCGGAAACAGTATTTATTAGTAAGAACATTTATCAACATAGAGCATATTTTCAGGCCGATTAAATGAACGTCACAAGCATCTAAATATCAGATCATTGCAAATGTTCGTTCCCTAGTAGAAAATTAAAAACAAAATTTAACATATTCACAAAAACATTTATTAGTCAAGTACATACAGGGTGCGATGGATAAATTGTCTTCTAAATCAGGAGTCGTAACCCTACAGCACGCGTGCCATACTTGGCACGCCAAGCAATTTTCAATGGCACGCAGCTGGAAATGACATCACGAAGTCCGAACCAATAACTACTACAACGCAAAGAAGATATATTTAGCTGTTTCAATTTTAATATATACTCAAGTATATATCCTATATATTACTATATAAAATATATTTTAGAACAGGTATATTGACATTGACTTGCATAAAAATACGTATGCAGTTGGCACACTGAATGATTTTAAAACCCTAAGTCGGCAAATAGTTAGGAAAAGGTTGCCGACCCTTGTTCTAAATTACGCAAAAAGGAAAATAACACTGGCCGCTCATTTTAAAAGATATATTTACAAAAATTACCCAGGAATATCTTGAGATACTAAAAAGTAAATTTATTGAATAAAATCGCCATTTGTTTCAACCACGGCCTCCTGACAACTTCGAAATCACCTACATTTCTTCTGGGCGGTTTCCTTGTTGAAGTTGCTGAATACTGCCATAAACCCTGCCTTCAGTTAATCTTTGAAGTTACAAGAAATTTTGTTGATCTCTCGTTCAACTGCGCCCCACACATAACAATCAATGGGTTTGCAGTCTGGGGAGTTAGGTGGCCAGATGTAATAGGTAATGTGGTTGTAGAAATTATTTGACAGCCATGACAATTTCTCCTGCTTGTGTAGCATGGTGCAGAGTCCTGTTGCCAGACATAGGGTCTTCCAGCAACTAAACTCGTGACTCAGGGCAGCACTACCTCAAATCACGTGATGTAGGCCTTCGTGTTGAGTCTGAGGTCCTCACTTACAAATTCGGGAGATCCTTTCTTATCAGTGAGTTTCCGGACTGCCATAACTTCGTAATCACCATTAGACTCATCCCACTCTTTCCCAAACCTCTGACATTGACACTAATACTCTGAAATGTTTGTATTGGAGCTTCTGCTGCAAATGCTAAGTACTACAGTATGTCGTTTCCAATTATCTGGTTGAATGAATTGCGTCATGGTGTTCTTTTTCTCACAGACGATGTCCAACTAACCTTACTAGAGCTGTGCACTCAATGAAATCAAAAACAAATCAAGCACATTCGCGAAATTAAAAATATAAAATGGCGAAAATATGCTCTGTAGTTTTCATTTCATTTTTTTTTTTTTTAACAATTGTTACCCGTCGTTTTAGAAGCCTGATGACATTTTCGTAGAAATTAAATGACGGGAAAACGCGTCATTCGCATTTATTAGTCAAGTACATAGTTTTCATAGTTTTTCTATAGTACACTGTTTTTAATAACTGTCACATATCATCCTCCAAACGTCATGCTTTGTGTTAGAGGAAGTGACGTTGTTTTTGGCTGAATGTACAGTCAATATTTTATCATTTAAACCCGGAATAAATGAAAATCCGAAGAACCTAAGTCAACAGAATATGCCGAGTTTCCCTTTTCAACAATTTATGCTTCTACAACATCTGTTTTCAAATATATGTATATATATATATATATATATATATAGATAGATAGATAGATAGATAGATAGATAGATAGATAGATAGATATACATATAGAGTAATAGATATTGATAATATTAGTGGTCAATTTATATATATATATATATATATATAT